TTTGTTTTCATTTTTAGATTTTTTTTTTTTTTTTTTTTTTTTTCTTTTTATATTACAAATAAATGATTTAATTTATTTGATGGCTAGTTAGTAACGTGATGTATCATTTTTAACCAATAGAAATTTGTATAAATGAATTTAAAAATCGTTTGTTCTAATTAATTTATTAACATATAAAAATATCTATAATTAAATTAGTTATTTTTTATTAAACTAGATGTCACTTGATAATTTTGAAGCATTAATATGATTGGTTGAATTTTTTTTTATGACATACGAGAGAGAGAGACAGACAGATCGAAAGGAGAAGGATTTGTATTTCCCTCAGGTGATCAGAATTTGATAAATACAAAAAATACGTTTATTTGCTTCAATTTAACAATGACTGATAAAAATTTTTCATTAAATTATGATATGACACAAAGTATATCAATTGATCCATCGGCACTTTTAACAACATCAACAATAAATGCATTACATTTTCCTGATTTAACAACATCAGGAATATCAGATTCGGGTGGTGGTGGTGGTCGAATAACAAATTCTAATCTTGATGGTATTGGTATGTGTGAATCCATGACTGAAAGTTTTTGTTCAATAACTGGACCAGATGAAACGATAATAGCTAATAATACAAATGGCCTTCACAATGATACATCAACAACGCATAATTTAAAAAGTATTGGAAAAAAAGAATCACTAAATGCTCAAAGAAAAAGACGTTCACGTAAAGCACAACATGAAGCATCAATAGATGGATTATCACTTGATAAAATTGAAACTGTTCATCTTGATGATGAACATAATGAACCTGATGATGTTTGGTAAAATTAATTTCATTTTTTGTTAAGAAAAAAAAATACAAATGAATCTTTTCTTTAGGTTATTTCAAATACCCGGAAGTGGAAATAAAAATAATTCAACATCAGAAAATATTTTTTCTTGGGTACATAAAGAATTTAAAGAAAATGATATTAATGCAACTAAGCATCGATTACTATGTAAACTTGATGATATGTCACATGGTAAAATTTTTATTTAACTTATATTTTATTTCGAATGATTTAAAAATATAATATCTTATAGAAAATATTATTTTTATATTCAAAAACTTTTTAAATATAGTTTTCTTCATTTCAAATCATTTATGAACCGAACTCAAACTCTAATTCGATGCTCAGATTTACCTTTTCAGACAGTGTTCAATATTTAAGTACTTGTCCAAATGTTTCTTGATAATATATGGACAATCATAGAAGTATTCTATGATTCCGTTAAGTTTAGGTATTAATGATGATTGTTAATTTTTTTAAAGAAAGCAATTTATAGATTATTTATTTCATTGTATATTAATCTAGTAAAATTCACTCTGAACTTCTATTTATTAATTTGTATTTTCTTTTATTAATTAATTAAAAACTACAAGAATTAAGAAAAAATCCCAACATTCGGATTCAATAAATATCTACTGAGAATTTTAATTTTTTTTTTAACCAAAATTTTATCTATAAAAGTAACATTTTTTATTACTGAAAAATATCTTTTCTATGTCAAAAATAGAACCATGAAATGATTAGTAAATCTTATAATTAAGATTATTCTCCAATTCTGCATAACTCATCATTTCTCATATTACACACATGGTTAATTTATTAATATAAACAAATGTATGTCGTTCTGTTATTATATTCTTTATCTGATTAATAAACATGTTTTATAATAGAAGAAAATAAGTTTTTTGTTCATTTGTTTCTAGCTCGTACAATACGAAGTGTTTCATGTCACAATTTTGCTCCTTATCAAACATCGGATAGTGTAAAACGAAGTTCAACAGAACAACAAGTTCATCCAGGTATAAATATAAATGAAAATAAATTTATTCTTCATCCTCAAATATCTTCAACTGATTTACTTGAAAATGCTCTTTATCTAACTGAAATTTTTACATTATCATCAAAAAAATTACATTTATCTACAATAAGTTTGGATAGTATTGAAAAAGATAATGATCCATTTGATTTATTTCTATATGATTCACTTAATGATGAATCATCTGATGACGGTGAACAATTTTATGATTGTTCGAATGAAACAAATTTAATTCAAACAATTACAAATGAACGTCGATTAATTGAACAATTAACACGTCGATGTTCATCATTAGATAGTCTTGATAATTATGATAATACATTATCTCGTAGTAGTAAGATGTTTAGCATGATGTGAACAAAGTTCGAATGAATTTGAAAGAGCATGTTATGCAATATTTTATTTTTTCTTCCTTTTGTTTGATGTGTGATTGAATCGATCGTTTTTTTTTTTTTTGTAAAAACTTTTATTTTCTATATATATTATAGAACCTGTTACAAATGTTAGTCGAATGATTTCTCCATTACGTACAAGTACACCTGTATTTAATAATAGTGGAAATACTCGACCAACATCACCAACTAGTTCATCACCACTTCGACATACTATTACAATTACAAATAATACTGTACGTTCAAGAGATGCATCAAAAGAACGTGAAAGAGAACCATTGGATTATACGGATCTTGAAGGTAAATATTTTTCATATGTTCAATGAAAGATTAAAAAGAAAAGAAAATTTATAATATTGATTGTTAATATTCGAGTATGAGGTTACGAAATAATATTTGATTTAATCCTTTTTGATAAGTGAATAACGATGTTACATACTTCAACTTATGTAAACAAATTGAATGTAACTGTTCAATATATTGAAATTGTATTGTATTGTTCTTTTTTTTTTTTTTCTTAAATTAATATATAATAATATTTTCATTATTATTATTTTTTTTTTTATAGTAATGGCTAAAGTACAACTTGAAAGTAAGTATTTTATCATTCTATAATTATGAGAATAAAAGAAAAAAATCAATATATATATATATATCGAATTTTTCTTTCTTAACAAGATTTACGTCAAGCTGAACGACAAGGTCCATTATCAAAACGTTTCGGTATGTTAACATATTTTATTAGATGCATGTTAGTTAGTTTTGCTCATTGTAATATGATTTTGAGATGGTGAAAAACAAAAAAAAAAACAATTTATAATTTCTATGTTTGCTATATATATATATATTTATATCTGCACCATTGTTGTTGTTGTTTTTTCGTTGTTAATCTATACATTTTCAGGAGGCAGTTCAAATACTTTAATAAATACAGATTCACGTGATGTTTCACCTTCATCCGTTTTTGGTGGTACACGTAATACAAGTCCTGTTGGTAATAATGGTTATTTAACACCTCGACGTGGTTATTCACCAAATCCGGCTGCTACTGCCGGTGGACGTATACCAATACGAAAAAATTCATTTATTGTAACTGAATCTCAATATACTGATGTATTACCATCGGTTTCACCACGATCGACATCACCAGCTATAAGAACAGGTCAATGGAGTGGTCGTGTGACACCATCTGCACTTGAAACTTGTATGGAAACATCATTTATACTATCTGATAGTCCTTTGCAGTGTTCCTTGTTGCCTAATAATGCTGACAATACGTTTGTCAATAGTGCACCAGGTCGATTATCACATACTAACGTGTATATAACTTCTTTTTAATACTTTGCACATAGATGCTCTACTAATTTCTTGTTGATTATATATTTTTTTCTATTGTATGCTTTTATATACATATATCTGCTTAATTGGCTTGCTTTTGCTTTGTGTGCTTGTAGGCGGTTCTAATGTTTCGCTTGCATCAACCAGCAGCTCGACTACTATAACTCTGACAAGTGAGTTTGTTTATACAAAAAGAAAAAAAGAAAGCCTTTTCAGAAGGTCTTTTTGTTTCGTAGGCAAGCATCGAGCAGTATTGCGTTTCTTTCTCATATTCTAACAAAAATGTTTGAAAGCTACAAAGAGAATCGTTTTATTATTGTTATTTTATTTCGTATAAAAGTCATTGTTTAATATTAACGACAGTACCATAAGCTAAATTATCAAATGCATAACAACATTTTGAAGCTTGCTGTTGAGTAGATATAGTCAATTGATTAGATTCAGTTTTATGTTTATCTAAAAGATCGAAAAGAAAAAAAAATAATAATAAAAGAAACTAATTATTTAATTTATTTTTCTTTTTCATAACTTACTTTTCGTTTTTCTAGTGATTTTAATCCAATTTATTTTACATTTTTCTTTATTCATACCCTGTAAATGGTTCGATGAGTACAGTAAAAAGTTGATAAATGAAATGTCGTATAAAAGAGAGTAACACAAAATAAAAATAGAAGACTACTTCAACCATTTACTGACTGTCATACGTTCTTATCATATTTTATTTATCGTATATTTCAGAGTGTTAAGTCATACGTCTACAGTAAATTTATAAGACACGTGTTTGTTTTGTTTTTATCTTTCAAATATAACGAAATAGCAATACTATTTATGATTGAACGAAAAAAGCTGCATATATATATATTATATATGTTTTTGAGCACATTGCTACATATGTTTATTTGTATTTGTTTAATCTTAATAAAGAACAATGATAAGTCTATTTTTGTTTAATCGATCATTATTCTTTATTTTATTAGATCAACATGGAAATAAGCCTCCTGTTGTACCTAAATCAGTGATAGCAAGGTATATATATTCAATAAGTCTTCTTATCAATCTATCTATCTATATATAAATATTATTTAGAAATGGTGTTAAACCAAATAATCATCGTCGATCAAATACACAAACAATTTCAACAAATATACCTAATGGTTATGATTTACCTGATGTTACTGATACAAAACCATCGACACCAACAAATCGTACTAGTACTATACCAACAAATTCATCAAATACTAATCGACCACGTCCACCTGTATCTCGTCCATTACAAAATTATCGTGGTTCACAAACATCTTATAATAACAACAGTAATAATAATCTAAAAGTTCAACCAACATTACAAAAAAATTTAAAAAAACCAACAAATGATTTTGGTTCAACATTTACAGCTAAACAATTTGCATCCAATGATAATAGTTTATTAAATGATGTTAGTAATAAACCATTAACTACACCGAATCGTTCACAAATTGGATCACAACGACGTACACCAATACAATCGTCAATCGAAAAAATTCCACCATCATCATCAATCGATATGACAACAGCATTAGTAAATAATGGACAAACATCCATTCCACGTAGTGCATCATCATTAAGTCAAGGTAGAAAAAGTGGCATACCAACAATTGGTAAACAACAACGACCAAGTATTCCAACTGCTACACGGTAAGTTTAAATATCAAAAACGAACTTTTCTTGTTTTTTTGTGCTCTGCTTGCTTTTTTGTTAATGGATGGTTGTTTTCAGCCACCATTCACTTGCATCACGACGTACAACAATCAATGGATTTTAAAGAATAGGCATGAGTATAGTAGAGAAACTAACTGAAAATTACTAATCGCATGATTATTTCTTTGAATTAAAATATGAAAAATTTCGTTTTTTTTTTTTTTTTTTTTGTCTTTTCGTCTTATTAGACCAACATCAACAAATGTAATTCCTTCATCTCAATCATCAGATAGTATGATGGCAACTAGAAATATTCGAACACCAGCATCAATAGCTCGACCACAAATTCCTGATACTATGTCACCGACATCATCATGGAATGAAGGATGCTATTAATTATTCTCATTATTTTTTCTTTCTCACGTTCGTTTTTTTTTCTTTTTGATCTGTATCTTATTATGCATGCACATTTTTTCTCTTGTCTTTGGATCTGCTCAACAACGGTGACCTAATCCTTTTCATCTTTTTTTCTTTATGGCTATAATAACAAGTTATATTTTGTCTCATTTGTATAAAATTAATTGTTTTTTGTTTTTTTTTTATTATTATTATATATTAATAGTTTGTATTTGTCATTGTTTGATCGATTTTTTTAATTTTTGTCTTAATCATCATTTTATTTGTGTGTGTACAGGGTTTATTGTCTAGTTGTTTTTCACAGTAATTGTGCCTTTATGTTTTTTTGTTTTCTTTTTTGTTTTGCTTTGTATACATTCTTATATTGTATTTAATCTCTTTATCCTTCCAGACAAGTATATATCAGCGATATATATTTATATCTATATCAAACAGAAGACAAAAATTTTTTAATGAATTATGAATAAATAAAAACCGACAGAGGCATTTGCATTCATTAAGATTTTTTTTGATTCATAACTGATGATGTTATTCGTCCTCGATTAAATGTGTAGGATGATAATTAAGAAATTCATTTGAGTTCTTTGTGATGAATATATTTTTTTTCTCTTCTTTTGATTGCATCCAATAGTGTCAATTATTGTCATTCTTCTTGAAAATAATTGCCTACGATCGGCAACTATTATTTAGTCATTTACAAATTGATCATTATTTACTATTCATTGATCAAAATATATTTTAAATGTTATATTTACGAGACAAAGAAAATTTTCATGTCAATAATTGACTTTCAAGTGAACTAAATAATTAACTAAAGTATCCACTACATGATTATATTCAGTTTGATATTTCAATTCTTATTTGTTGCAATAGCTTCAGTCAGATATTCTTACCTAATTATAGTGCATATCTAATTCTAATGAGAATATGGATGTTTGAGTGCAAGTGAGAGAAGAGGGATGGATTTCTCTTTATTCATTCTTTGAATATTTGATCATCCTTGTTTTTATTAAGATATACTGTTCACATCATGATAGATCATTATCATGATATATGTACTATAACTTGTAAAAAATCAGTATAGTTGTCTGATATATAACTGAAACTAAACAAACGAATTAGAATTGGAAAGTATTAGGCTGACTAGGCATGCCCAATATGATTATTTTTAATTTATTGATTAAAAAGGAGAAAGAAAGAAAAAAAGAGCATATGTAAGGCAGTAATAATTAACGTCGACCAGCCCATGAATTAAAACGAGGCCTAGCCAAAAGACTACGTTTACCAGCCCAAGCATTGAAACGTCGTTTTTCGAGTTCATGTTCATCAATATTATTAAACATTGAACCATCATTGTTATTGATTGAATTGAATTTATATGGCGATAATTCCAATGGTTCTTCAATAAGTGCATGATTTTCATTATCAGTTGTTTTACTTGATAATGTAAATGAATATGTCATAGTTAACTATAATACATGTATACAATGGAAATTAAACGAAAAAACAAAAAAAGAGAATTTTTATTTTTACCATAAGTAAAAGGTAAGCGAGTATACCAGTAAAAATGATAGTTGTATTCATGATGCTTACTTTGTATATAGAAGACTTATCTAAAATATATATCTATATAAAAAGTATTATTAGTATTTTTTTTTTCAAGTCTATTAGAATATTTTTTTTTTTTATTCTAGAAAAACTCGAAAACAAAATTCCTATTAATATGATTTTTCATCCAGAATATAAATATACAATTATTAGAAATTCATCTATGTAAGAAACCTTTTTTCTTTTTTATGAAGGTCTTCATTGATCATTACCTCGTAGTTATTGTAGAAGTAATGCACTTGAATTGTTCGTTTGTTGTCTGCTTTTCTTATTGTTTAATAACAAACGTAGATATACAATTGTTATTGTTTGTCGATGTGTCCTCAATAAAAAGAAAACATTCTTCGTTATTTTTTCTTTTTCTCTCTTATTCCACTTATTTCTTTTTTGTTTTATTTTTGATTAATGATTTTCTTATTCAATGTAATATCTGTCGCTCTCTCTCTCTCTCTCTTTCTCTCATAATGTAACGAGTTTATTTTGCCTCATATATGCATACAAATACTAATTATATATTTGATCGATTGAGTATTCGAATAAGAAATGAATTCATTGTTTATGAACAAAAATCATTCATGCATTTATGTTTTAATCCTTGTAAAATGAATGAGAGTTTACTTATTTAGTAATCAATATTTCATTTTTATCACTCAATAACAATTGATCAATCTGAAATAATATTATCGTTCAAGCAATTAGTCGAGACAATATTTTTGTTTTTTTGTTTTCTTTTTTTCTCACATAAAACAAAAAACTTGATTACAATAGAGAGAGAAAGAGAGAAAAGAAGAAAAAGAAAAATTTTGTCAATTTAGAATTGTTTTTATTTTCAAAAAAAAAAAGAAAATCAAACACCGGGGTTGATTCAAAACGGTGTATGAAGAAAATAAAATTAACTAGCTCCAGGCTTTGATCCAAATTGAACATTAGCTGGTTTTAATGTTGTACGTGGTTTAGTATTTTCACGTGGTGTAACTGGAACTGATGCAGGTACAGGACGCCATTGTGGTTTTGGATTTTTCACTGATAATTCAGCAAGTGCTGCTTTAAGACGTTCAATTTCAACATTTAAATCTTTATTTGTTCCATTAAGTCCGTCAATTTTTTCATCACGCCATTTTATTTCATAGGCATGATCACGTTCTTGTTTTGATTGTAAAACATCTTTTGTACAAATTGTTGCTAATTCAGCTACTTGATTTGTACCATAAAGATGTAATAAAAGTCCATGTAATGGTTTATTTTTACGATCTTCTATTGGTAAATAACGACTTGTATAAATAGCTTCATATAATTCTTCTTTTAGTTTATCTGTACCTATTTTAATTAAATCAATATATATATATATATTAGATTTGATGATAGAATGAAATAATAAAATTTTATTTTTATACCAATTCCTTTGCCACGAAGAGATTCAATTTCGGTTGTATATCGTCTTAGTTTATTTTGTAATTGATCCATCGAATCTGATTCGATACCACTTTGTAATATATTGGATTTTAACATTTTATCTAGAATATTTCAAAAAATATAATTTAAATTAATTTAATTATGATGAATATACCTAAAGAACGAAGCCATTCAGTAAGCATAACCATTTTATCATGCATTCGAAATACACTTCGATTATTTGCGTCAACCTTAAAAAGGAAAAGAAAATAAGTTTTGTTTTTGCCTTGTTATTAAATATTTTTGTATTTCACCATTTTGATCTGACTTGACCATCTTTGTTCAAAATCTGATCTAAGTCGAGTAACTTCATTACGAAGTTCTTGCATTTCTTCTTCCTAAAATGATTAATAAATATTCCTATGAAATATAAAATTAAATTTGACAAGTACTTTTTGTTGTCGAGCAATTTGTTCATTTCGAAGAGCATCTTTTAATGTGGTTATATTACGTTTTTCTCTATATATTTATATGTATGTAATATTTATATGTACTAATTACCTATTGAATTAACTTACTCTTCTAATGTTTCATTTAATCTATGTTGAGTTTCATAATGTTGTCTTTTAAGATTGATAACTTCGACTGATTTATTTTGATTTTGAGCTTTCCATGTATCATTTAAATGAGCTTTTAATAACTAGAAAAAGAAAAAAATTAAATTTTCTCTTAGAAGTATAATTAAAATTATTTACTAATTCTTGAAGATATGTTTTAAGTTTATCTCTTGTGTCTGCACGTAATTTATCCACACCAGGACATTTTTTAAGTATGTCATCATCAATAACTACTCGTTCGGATGCTTCTGTAGCTACTGGTTCAGATGCTTTCTTATCTAAACAAAAATGTTTCATAAATGTCATATCTTATTAAATATATTTGTATATAATTTACCTTCACTTTCAAGAAGTTCACCTAAGAAAGGTTGACCATTTGCAATTAATCCTTCAGCTAATTTCGTAAAACCTATATCACCATTATCAATAACAATGGTTAAAAATTTTTTATTTCTTTCTAGTGGTGTCGGTAAAGCCTATTTAAAATTCAAAAAAAAAGAAAAAGAAATAAAAAAACAACATCACCAGTAGCATAATTTAAAAAAAAAGAACGAAATCAACATACTTTAATATCATCAAAGATAAAATTAGGAAATATTTTTTTTTCTTTTAACCAATTAATTAAATCATCAGTTAAAATAAGATTACTTTCTAATAATGTACGATATCGTTCTAAAATAGCTTTTTTAGAATGCACCATGATATTTATCTATGTGTAGCAACCAATCAACAATGGTATGTTTATGTTTAATGTGTCTGTTTTAAATTCAATGACATTGAAAAAGCAATTCTATAAATTTCTCGCTCTCTCTCTCTGTCTCTTTTTTTTCTTATGTTGCTTTTAAAAAATTTCTTTTTTGTCACCTCATCAACAACAACCAATTCTCTCATTTTATATATCCATTCGCCTTTCTATATGAATGTAAGAACAGAATAGGAGTCATTCATTCGATAGGTATATTTGGTTTGTTCACTGATTTTGTGCATACTTTGAAAACAAAAATAATTCGTATAAATTAAACAAGAATAAAAAAAGAAAGAAAACTGTTGCGACTCGTGTAATACAAAAAAAAAAAAAGAAAAGAAAAGAAAGCAGCACAACGAATGATTGGTAGTTGAATAATACAAAATTGAAGTCGAATTCTGAATAATCAAAAAGAAAAAAAGAAAAATGAAGCATTATTCAATGCTCACATATTTCTGCCCACCCATCGGTACAGTTATAATGCCATTACATTATTATATATATAGAATAATTATGAATCGAACAAAAAGTGAAAGAAACTTGTTGATTGAGGTATTGAGTTCATTGATGATAATAAAATATTATATATGAATAGAATTTTAAATGAAAGTTTTTATTATTAGATACATTTTGAAATTATTAACAATTATCGATTTTTTGTTTTTATTTTTAATATATCATATGTTTGAAGAGATTTGCTAAGAATCTATTTTAGATACTTTTAGTAGTTTAAGTACTTTAGGTTATTTGTAACAAGACATTGGAACTAATGTCATAATAACACACACACAAAATTTCATAAGATGTAATAGCGAGGACAATGGTATTTTTTGAAAATATGCTTAAAAAAGTTTGCCCAAAATTTTTTTTTGTTTTCTAGACAAAATTTAGCAAAAAAACAGTCTGCAATAGAAAGCTAATCCTCCTGGAGAATGTCACTTATGTTTTCGTGTACTTAGTGTTACATCATGAAGTTTATCGAAATCATAGCAATATATATATTTTTTTTTCTATTAGCTACTGTATATTTATTCTTTCACGGCATGGTGTACGTCAGTTAATAAGAACTAATATCACTGATTTGATTTATTTTAAAAGCAGACAAAATAGTAATCATTCAAGAATTATTTATTATTGACTTTTGTTGATCTAACCTACTTTTTTAAAATTTCAATAATAAATTATATTTTTGAAATTTTTGACAATGTGTCAATGATTGAATCCTTGTAATGTATATTTAGATGACTTATAGTCATTAAATACATAATTAATAAGTTACTTCTTTTAAATCATGAAATTAATTTGAAATAATTAAATATATTGATCATTGTTTACTTATATCTTTAATTTACGACTTATGCTCTCCAAATAATAAAATTCGTCAATCTAATCTAGAAGTTAATTAAGATATTTTTAATAGAAATGTTCTAAAATTAGTATGATGTGAAAATTAAATTTCTTTTCGCATTGAAAGCATCAATTTACGATATTTATCTGAACTGTTCGTCTTCATGACAATTATATTGTTAAACCCGATTTCATTCTACTTATATGTCATACAATAATTATATTCGTAAAAAAAAAAATTTGAATTTAAATGAATAATAATGAAGCATAAATTCATGAAAAAGAAATTCAAGTTTAAGATCTTTCTATTTATACATACGATAAATTAGTTGCCAAATAACGACACGAAAAGTTAACACATCCATATTATAATATAGTATTTTTGACTATCAAAGTAACGAATAATATTTTAGCCAATTAAGATTGTTAATATCATTGATTTAATATGATAAAACATTTGCGAACCATATCATAATGGTAATAAAACAAATAAACAAGTGATTATTAAAAAGAATTGAAATTTCGCTCTATTACGATATCCCTTTCCGACCGGATGTATCCATATGGATACATTAGGCCAATATTTTACGAAGAACTGACTTACAGTGATGATATCAAATTTTTTGACAATTTGATAATTAAGTTAACGCATTTCAACACACATTCATGCGTTTAGAAGACGGAAAAAAACATTCACCAAGAAAATGACCGGTTCCACCCACAATACCCCAA